TATTCTGAAGCCTTTTTATTCAGATGAGAATTTCTGTTTGTTCATTTGTATTATAAATTGAAATCAAAATCTCATTGTAATTAAATAAGCTAATTTACCTTTTCATTGTTTTTCAGTACCTTATTTATCAAGTAAGTTTTTTTATCAGGTGAGTAGTTTTGTCCGTCGTAATTTTTAGTTCAAATCAAAATTTCACTATTTTTTTCTAATACTATTACAAATTTGTTGCTGTACTCTTTCAAAAAAGCCCACTGATATCTTTACAAAACAATTTTTCACCCACATCTTCCGGATTATAATTACATAAGCAAACTGTTTTTATTGTTTTCAGTATTTTTAATCGAGTATTTTCAAGTGTTTTACCAGGTGAGAATTGTTATTTGATATTATGAGATTATCATGAGAATACCAGAAAATATTCATTAAGGCAGTACAGCAAATGTATCAACTAACACTCAATACTTTGCGCCATTCTTGTGGTAACCCTATTATTATACAGTGAGGGTCACTCTTTAGGCAATACAGTCAAACCTGTGTATAGTGACCACCCATAGGGACTTCATCAAGATGTCCTTTATAGACAGGTGGTCTTTATATGGAGGTTGGTTTGTTTCTTTTATGAATGTGCAACTCGTACATTTGACATGATATTTTCAAAAAACATAACGAAATAGTATGAGTGCAACAAAGACATGTTTATATGAGTCATCAAAATTAAAATAAAATAAATTTGGCTTGTGAAAATTAAAAATATATGTACAAACAAGGAATGTGAAATGTTATTTTGGTTCTAAACAAAGTTAAATTGTTAAAAGGTGGTCACATGATCAGACAGGTGGTCTTTTTACACAGGTTCCCCATATGTTATACCTTGGGACTGCCCAAGTGTGATCACTATAGGCAGGTGGTCTTTATATAGAGGTGGTCACTCACACAGGTTGGACTGTAAAAAGATTAGTTTCTGGTTTTGATGTAACTCACCTTTTTTCTATGTTTACTTTGCTGTGTTTTTTCTTCAATTTTAACTAAACCCAGCAAAAAGGTTATGAGTGTATATTGAATTAACACAATTCCTGATATCGGACTTGTAATTCTAAACTATAATTTTGATTGTTATTCCACAGTAATTCAAAAATGTCTAGATCTGCATTAGAGAGTGCCTTCATTGATGTGAGCGAAAAGAAGATGTCGATCAGGAAGGCAGCAGCAAAATGGGAAATAAAGAGATCCACACTTGGAGACCGTGTTTCCGGAAGAACACAGTTTGGCAGGCGCAGTGGACCACCCCCTTTTCTTACTACAGAAGAAGAGACTCAGGTTGCTGACTGGATTATTGGAATGGCAGAAAGAGGTTTTGGAGTGACAAAGAAACAACTTCTGTACACAGTTAAGAAGATCCTCGACACTAATAAAAAGGTAACTCCTCTTATTAAGATTGACCCACCAAATCTACCCGGCAACAAATGGTACCGGCAATTCATCAAGCGCAATCCTCGAGTGAAGACGATCAACACAGGAAAACAACAGCCATTAACAACACCACCCCAGCCATCAACATCACAGGAACACTCATTACCACAGCAGTCACACATATCAACAACACACAAATCTTGTCTCCCCAGTATTCTCACATATCCCCCTCCTAGAGCTAGAAAAAACAATACACCCAAGAAAAAAAAATCAAGATGCCCCAATTTTGTTAATGGATCCACAGCCCTAATGAATCATCAGGAAGAACACCTTCAGTTTCATAGAGATGTGGCTAGCAAACATCCGCAGGTTAAAGAACGCGCAGGCCAAAAACAGATGACGAGAAAATATGCAGAAAAGAAGGAACAGGATTGAGCAGAAAAAAAAAGACAGCGAGAGTTGGAGAAGAAAAAAAAGCAATGTTTGAAACGAGCAAAAATAGCAGAGTGTGATCAGATCGGCTTGCAAAAAATTAAGCGTAAAAACCAAGTGATGGAAGAGGATGACGATGTGTTGTGTACCATCTGCCTACAGTCTTGGGAGGACAGTGAAGAACAAACTTGGGTTCAGTGTCAACAAGATGAAGGAGGTTGCCATGGGTAGATGCACGTATCATGCATTCCACTCACTCATGATACAAGGGCTCTGGAACTAGATTTAGCATTTATTTGTCATGAGTGTATTTAAATGTGTCTAGTTAGTTATGCATTTATTGGCATGTGGTGTCTGTATCCAGGGTTTTGTGCCATTGAAACCAGGTGATAGAAGTAATGTAATCTGTTATTTGTTAATGGAAACTGATCACGGTGTTTCCCCTGGTTTAAACCAGTTCTTTTGCCTGATCACCCAATTATTTAAAGACTTTTAATTACTTATAATTTGATTACATGCATTCTTTTACATTTCATTTTATAATTAACGATGCCATATTTGATTCAGAAGCTATCCTGCACTTGATAGTGTGTTTGCCTTTCATCTCTTTGTTCAATACATCCAATATGATACTGTGAATTATAAATTATTGTTATAAAATACATACATTGATATTCTACATGATAAAAATGGCTTACTATCGTGCCTGTTATATTATTTATGATCTTCACATAGATCATAACAACATCTTAAGGTAGTATTGAAAATTTTGTCAAAAAGGGTAAGTTACTTCACTTCCAAAATCTACAGCCAACATACTTTGATTTAGGCCAACTTTAACATATAACCCACTGCTGACCAGTGTGGTGAGATCCCAGTTAATAAACTACATATATTTAAAAACATATTTGACAGCGTGACAATGCATTGACCTTAAAAATGATTTTCTAATTGTTTGTACTTGAAGATACCATGTCTGCCCGGTCAGGGAACCAAACACACGACAGTTGGATGTGTAGAAGAATATGGCAACAGAAAGTATAAGGATGCCATGATGGTATGGGTACCAAGGATAGATACTATACCGTCTATGCACCATGATGTGATTACAGATGAAAAAAAAAATTTGAGCTTTGCCAGGTTGCAGGTTAAGTTTAATGTACCGGGTAGTATTGTGTTAACTAATGTTTAATTACAAATAAATATGTTTGATGTTTTAATGATGATTTTTTAATGATGTACATGTGGCGCGTGAGTGTGTGGGTGCACTACAGTTTGGAAAATCAACCCTTCCAGTATCATTTTTAACTCCTCTCCTGTCCAAAAACAATGAGTTTGTGCCCATTCATTTGTTGGTCAAAATTTAATTTAAAAATTGCATTTTGATCAAATTTGTTTGAAATGGCTACTTTTTAACTCCTGCCCTGTCCAAAAACAATGAGTTTGTGCCCATTCATTTGTTGGTCAAAATTTAATTTAAAAATTGCATTTTGATCAAATTTGTTTGAAATGGCTACTTACCGGTAGTACTAAATCTGTTAAATTATTAAATAATATGCACAGTACACTGCCTAAAATGATTTAAATGAAGCAACATTTAGAGCAAACTGTTCAATATGCTTGAATAACTAAATACTGTGAAGACATCTGCCAAGTTTGTAAATTTAAACCCACTGAAATTGATTAAAATAGTGAAATTAAATGGTATCAACTTTAATCTGACTTCATGCAAAATAAGATTGATAAATATAAATAACGTTAACAATAAACAAATCATGTCTATAGATTATCACTAACCAAATTAAGCAATTATCATGCATAGATTTCAACCCAAAACTAATTATGTGTATTCAACTATTGTTAGACTTATTTGTTAGTATACTCGTACTAAATCAGCAAATGCCAAAAGTATTTACAAGAATAGCCGCAGACAATTTAGCAAAGCCTAGGCCCCGAGGACTGTACATGCATGAGCTGTCAATCATTTTCTGTGAAAAACCATGTAATGTCGTGTGAGGGCGTTTACAAGCATTAACAGTATTCAGGCCTTCGCTGATTTTCCCCGAGGCCTGTCAACAGTCTATTAATAAAGATAAGCAAAGCATTCACTACAAAGAAAATTAGTGCAGATTTCACTGAGAGGCTTATTCACAAGCTTTTCAACAAACACAAAAACTACAGATGGGCGCCTGAGGTCCAACTATATCATATGTACTCGTCAGAAACTAAAAGAGAAGACGATTAAAGTGACCTACACTTCTATTATTATTGTTATTCAGGTACTTCTGTTCTTTGATTGGTTTTTGCCCACACATACTTATTTATAGAGGGTCGGCAAGGGGTACTTTCGTAAGCTGTAATCAATTGTTTTTATTTTCGTAAGAATTTAATTTAAATAAATAAAAAAAATGTAAATTCATAGACATGGGCAAGGTGTAAAATGTAATCAGCTATTTTATTCGTCTGTAATTTGTGGAGATAATTTTTTTTAAGCGTATAAAGCATTTTTCAAATTAAACGATGTAATTCTGACACAGTTTCCACACACACATTTTCGAAAATATTATAAAAATGTAAAATCTATTTAGGAATTTGCTTTATCTGTAAAGTGTAAAAACCTATATTTTACTGTAAATGGAACTTTCATTTTATTTCCTGTGAAAATGTAAAATGCTGTTTTTATTTCCTGTGATCTGTACCAGCTATCCTCTTTAACTATAATTTTATTTCAGCGTAATTTCTCGCGTCCGCCGACTTGTAAGCACAAAAAAATGCTAAAAAAATATTATTTTCATCTTCATTTTTTACCGCCCGCCGCATAACAACTCCAAGTTGCATTTTCGTGGGAGTATCATGATCAAATTACCGAAGTCTTGCGCAGATGAGAAACAAGATTATACATGGAATAAAATTTTATTTCATTTCTTCTCTCCGATCAATGATCTCACTTACAATTCTTTGAGAATCACACAAATCTAATGGGAAAAAAAAAAAAAAAAATTTTTCCCCGCCCTCCTCAAAAAAATTGCTTTATAAAACACGACAAACAAGGAATAAAAAAAGTCTGGCCTTACAGTAATAATAAGCACACTCCTATCCCTGCTGTGTAATGTTATGTCATGTTAGTAAGTCGTCATGTGACCAAGGTCAGGGATCAAATGGCGACTTTAGGTAAGTTACGATTTGTGTTGTCCTCTGATTATTTATTCCTGTACAGAGTATTATTTTGTTTCGTGGTTTAAATGATAAGCACATCCTCTCAATTTTACGTTTCAACGTCGATAGTGACTGTACTGTTTGGATGGTGGATCGCCACCGGTGGAGAGCATTGTTGACTATGGTGGTAATTCATGTATCAGCGCACCATATAAACATCTCTCGCCAGATTAATTCGCACACGTTCATTGAAGTACGACCATACCACTTACAATAGTATAGATACATTCAGTATTTGACACAGTCCCTTTAAACTATTCACCGAGTTTCCCTGATGACCCGCAGTTCCTATATTCCAAGTATTAGCGCATTTTGTGGGCTTCCTGGTGAAATGTAAATCCTGCTTGGAAATCTCTTGCGTTGATATTGAACTTTACTACCCGAACCCCACCTTCTATGTTGCATTTTCCACCATTTTTAGTGGTTCTCGTTCACATCGGCAACACAAATGACGGTGGTCGTTGCGTCGCGTCTGTTCGATACAGAATTCATAGCGACGTACACAAGGAGTGAAAATATGTTTGTTTACATGAAATTCGAACACTCGCTGCGTGACGACCTGTAAATCTGTATGTCCTTGTGTGATTTACCGTGTAGTAGTAAAACCAAAAAATACCAAAATAAATAATACAATATTTAGATTAAAAGAAATATATACTAGTGATAGTAGAGGCCAAGAAAAGACCATTTTATTCAAGTTGATTTGTTTTTTTATATAATTATTCACATCACATGATTAAATTGCAACTACTATCTAAACAATCCAAGTTATATAAAGGTGTGTATCACTGATGTTTTTGTTAGTAAAAATCATTAAAATGGTCTTTTCTTGGCCTCTACTCTTAAGTTAGCAGTTGTTTCTGTTGTTGTTTCTGACCAATTTAACGCTTTTTTTAAATCATGACAATAATTTACTAAACCCCCACAAGCAGTCATGATAAACAAAAGTTTTAAATTGAGCTTATGCAATATCACGATTACCCTATCAACAATGAAGTGTTTGCCGAACTTTGATCAAGAGTGTGTGTGCGTAACTGTGTGTCATTCAAAGGTCGCGTTACATAAAGTTCCAAAGGATATAACATAAATCATCTATAGTGCCGCACAGCACGTACACCATATAGATGATGAAATCATGTATGATAAAAAGACTTACACAACAACCCACGATATCAATCCATTTTACTTGTGTCTTGGTATTTTCACTTGTCGGGAAATACGATCTCTCATAAACACTATAAAAATGAATACTACTGCTACTGCTACTGTAAAATACTTTATTTTAGTTGGACTAAATTGTCGCTTAATTGACTTTTTGGGACTTTTGTATTTTATTTCCACTGATTGCTGATGAGGTGTATGTAAAATATAAGAAAAAAAGTATATTCGCTGGATTTTATTTTAACTGAATCAGCCCTTCAGCGAAAAAAGCAAAAATAAATTCCAAACGAGAATAAAGAATTTAACAGTAAATATATAAATACTAATGTAATAACTTCTAACTAAAAAGCCCTTATTCAAAACACATATCAGCACTCATTCAAACGTTCAAATTTTCTATTACATCGATGTGTTTAGGGTTCTTTTTGTGTACATTGGATGCAGAAAGGCTATAGTGCACAACAAATGTTGAATCCCATCACTGAATGCAAATATAGTATTCACATTTTGAGCTATAGTCCCTCATTAAATTATTACTAACAAGCAAAAAAAAAAAATGTTGTATAAATAAGGTTAGGGTTCTTCCCAGGGCATTATAGAGTAGGGGTTCCCAACTGTTAAATTTTGAATGAACCAATTTAGAATAACAATGGATACAATAGTAGCATCAACGTATTCTATTGTTATGTAAATTAGTCAATATTGTATGCAATTTTTCTAGAGAGAACACTGAAGATTATTATGAAACTAATTTTCCGTTCACTGCGAGAATCACGCGTTATGCGTGAAATCGAACGTAAAAACAGGACAAACAAAGGTCATAGCGTCGTAGTGGCGTCAAACATCGCGTGGGATTCGATAAACGCGAAAATATTTTGGGGGCATTTCCATGCTTAATAATGTGCTGTCCACATTTGATGATAGACAATTTCGATTAAGTGAGGGTATTCGGAAGCAATATTCCTCTGTCGAAGATCGGCCTGTCGATGTAAGCTACGAAATAAAGAAATTAGAGTTGAAAATCAAATCGTTCGATTTTTGCGGCAGACGTTCGACGCGCGTCTTTCATGCATCTCGCGAGATCTCGCAGTTGAACGGAAAATCACCTATTAGATCAACGCACTGAATTTGAAAATAATAGATTACCATTTACGTGTTTATAATTCTTGTAATTTAGTGGAATTGATTGAACTGAGCCACAAGGCTAAGGAGAAGGCTTATAGTCCTTACAGCAACTTCAGAGTTGGTTGTGCTCTGATTACTAAAGATGGGAAGATTTTTACAGGTAAGCAATTGACACATCACTCAAATCTTCAAAGTGGAAGTGTTTTTCACATCCACACATAGTGGTTACATATAGTGCAAAATATATTTATTTTTAAAAAAAGAGGTCCTTTAATTCAAAACAGTTTTTACGTTTTTTTTTACCTGAGCACTACAAAATATGCAAATTTGTATCAAAATACTAGTAGCTCACTTTAAGTAATGGACGATACTTTGCACGACTTTGTCACGCACAATTAGATTTTGTAAGTTTTAAGAAACTGTGGAGATCAACATATTGAAGGCCACAATGTTGTGTTAACGAATGCGTGGTTTGTTGTTTTTGTATCTCAGGATGTAACGTTGAGAATGTGTCCTTTGGTCTGTCAATATGTGCCGAGAGAACCACATTGGTGAAGGCTGTCTCAGAAGGGTACCAGCAATTTGATAAAATGGTCATTGCAAGGTAGGTATACCCACTGTGGGAATACAGTAAGTAGAAACTGGTGGATAAACCTATATCTTGTTTGAGCATTGAATTCAAGAGGCTGACCATTAAAAAATCAGCACTGAAAAAACTTTAAGAGAAAAAAATCCACAGAGAAATTACAGAAATATGTAAACCACTGCCCCTTATTAACCTTGACAACGGTTATTGACTCCTATTGCTTTTTCTCAGTACCGTGTTTTCTCTATTAGAAGCGCATCCCTAAAACTTTCACTCAAAATATATAAACAAGAATTTGTATTTCCTGTATTCTGAATCATTAAATAAGACTACTTTTGACAATAGAAACACTTGTGTAATTAACATAAGCATATGTATTATTAATCAAGAAAAACTATACTGAAATATACAATTTATTTTTATTGGAATCCATCAATAGTCAGAATTTCTTTATGATTTATGACAACTTTCAGTTACCGTAAAATCTGTATTAGAACCGCATCCCTGATAGAAGCCACACCTATTCTTTTTTTGAACAATTGAGGCCCGAAAATTCACCATTTCTCATATATGTAGAAGCTCTAATAGAAGCCGCATTCCCTCTGTTGCATTGTACCATTTTAGCAGAAGCCGCAGCTTCTAATACAGATTTTACAGTAATAGCCAGCAGATTATTTTTTGTATGAAAACAGATGTGAACTCATGTATTAGCACTAATTTGGTCATTTTGGCTCAGTGTTAAATTGAATTACCGGTAATAAACATTTCCAGCTGATGTCCCTTTAAGCACCAAAATCAGCTTTCAAGACTTTTCACGAAATAAAACCTAAATTTTGATCAAGTCAACGAGAAATAAAGTTCACTTTGTACAAAAGTTTCGAAAAAAAGTACAAAAAAAATGTTACAACAAAATTTTGGCGAGAAAAATGATGGTGCTAGTTAGTAGTTATGTTTGATACCTTTGTTTTATTTTAGTGATTTGAAGAATCAGGTTATATCACCTTGTGGGGCTTGCAGACAGTTTATGGTTGAGGTGAGTATATAAAATGGAAACATTGTATTTGTGTTCCCAATAATTTGTCTCTAACTTGCTCAGCAACCTCACCAAGTTTACACTGAAAGGTGGTGGTTGTTGCAGCGCGCACTGTGGGACTTATAGTGACATACACAACATGTGTAAAATACTATGATATTTTAACATGTCATTTCCCATTAAGGTAGAAGCCTACTCATAAATTAAAATACCCAGAATTTATTTATTTTGCAATAAACTGTACTCTAAGGCAATATAAGAATATAGTTGGGGGTCACCAGCCTTTTTTGCGAGAAATTGATGGTTGTATTTCAGTGGTATAAAAATTTTACCACAGGTACCTATGGCAGAGATATTATGCAATATCTCAAAATTTAGCCTGATGACATAGGCTGAAAAAATCATATATTGGTAATGATGGAGTGCTTTTTGTTTTTCTGAATTATTTAAAAAAATCTGGGTTTTAAAAAGTGTCAAAAAATGCAATTTCTTTTTAACATTGTGTTCTATGGAATTGTTCTAAAAATATTAGAACACATTTTCACAAAAAGCACAAAATAATGCTATTTAATTGTACCATAGGACATGTACCATCAGCTTCATGAATGTACATAATAAAATAATGAACACTGTTATGTGATTTATGACCAATTTTGTCAAAAATTAGGACTAGGCTTCTACCTTAACAAATTAATACTTAATTAGACTTTCCTGGAAAAAGGTTACAATGTTTATACATGTATTTGATATTTTTTATTTCAGTCCACAGTTTTACTGACAATCACTTGTTTCTTAAAATATTAATTATTATAACTGTTATTTTTTATAGTTTGGAGATTACGACGTTTATCTCACCAAACCAGATAAGACGTACGAAAAAATGTCTTCGTATGAGCTACTGCCGAAGACAGTGATACCAACACATTTTTTGAATGAAGAGAAAATAAATGTATGATGGCGCTGTTGCAGAACATGCGTTTTATTCTAAATGTTAAAGCGAGGGAGTCATCACCTGCGCATGCGTAAGTTGGCCATAGTGTGTCATTGTTTACAAACAAGCGTCTTCCCATGAGCCTTTGCGTTTTAGCGGGTGTTGTTATCGTTGCTTGGGACTCAATTCCTGTGCATGCACATGTGACGACCCTCCCGTTTTAACATAATTTAAATGTAGCTTCCCAGCATTTTAGCACAGTATGAGCTTCCAGGTACAAACATAGATGAAAAGTAGACCGAATACTGTAAAATTATTTTAATGTTTTTAAAAAATTTTAAAATTAAAGTCGAAGTCCAGGTAAGCAACATAATGTCCCAGATGAAAGAGCTCTACAAATTTAGGAGAATGCATTTCCTATTTCTTTTCTATCACTTTTCATGTCTATTATGTAGTCCACCATTGTGATTCAAAGGATTATGGGTAAGGTATTACGACATGGCCACTGTTGTGAAAAATTTAGTAGCTATGATGTCATACTTTACCCATAACCCGCTGCTTGAGAACCATGGACAACATAATACTGTTCCACATTAATATAAACTTCCATATTTAGAGAATGAAAAGTGATATAAAAAATGAATTGAACATTATGTTGCTTGCCCAGACTTTACCTTTATGTTGTTTCAACTGAAAAATATTGAAGATGATAGAGCCGCTGCTAGCATGTTGCTTGTATGATGCATATGGGTAAAAAATATACAATTTGTTTTTTTCACACGATATTTAATCTCTGTGGAATATACAATATCATGCAAATAAACAATGTACTTTACGTTATATACATCACAATGGGACCACGGATTGGCCGTGACATATATCGGGAATATGGTCACCCTTTATTAATATGATCAGTGTGGGATGAGGCATACATTCCAATTAGAGTGATGGATTGGGACGGTGTTAATCATGAGTTAATCCCAATTTAGTTTTTTTCGTGCCCCAGATTAATACAATAACCACAGTAAAAATACTTTAATCAAAGGTTGAATGACGAAGAAAAAACACCCCTCTGCTTGGTTTGACTTTTAGGTCACATTTTTTTATTCTACAATATTATTAATTTTGGACCTAATGAACTTAATTGTTGACAAAAATCGGAAAAAAATAGGTTTCATTTGCAAAATGTATGTGACAAAACGTTTGTGGTAGGTGACTTGCAATTGCTTTGAACAAATTAATTTGAAATGAGTATCTACCGTACTGGACTGTGTTAGCGCATAGTGTCCTCAACTCAGAAAATCATTATTTTTTAGGGGTGGGCGCTTACCCGAGCACCCACCTCTGGAAAAGTGTGCATTTGACAACTTTAATTCACCATGTGACAAATTGAGGGGGATATTACGTCTTTGAGGGAAAATAGAATTACAAAATTAGTTGCGTGAAAAAACAGAAATGGTCACAAAAAATATGCTCATTTTAGTACAATATTAATTATGTACCACCTGAATTTACGAGATTAAAATTATTGTTGGAACACAGTCAAAGTCAAAATCTTCATTATCACCATTGTCGATTGTATTGGATTGTATGTGAACTCTCAATGAAAAGCACATTCTGCCATGTTTTCTTTCACTATTTGGGTGCTTTGCTGAATATAAAAATTGCGCAAAAGTGGGGGTGGGCGCTAACGTGGAGTACGGTAAATAATATATTAACATTTGAAAAAAATTAATTTGATGTACGAATTTATGCAGAATTTTAATAAATATTTACAACATTACTGCGATCATTCGTGTCTTGCATTATTTTAAATTCCATAGGGCCATTTGCAGGTCCCTTAAAGGTCACACATCCAGAAAGTATCAGGATGTGACTTTACAGGGAGTCGTGTGTATCCACATGTATTTTTGCGCCTAAATTTGACAAACAATTGATTCTTCTGCAACTATACAAGTTACATTATTAGGGGTATAGGTTTGACTAACCTTGGTACATGGCAGTGTCTGGTTTCACAGTTTATTGCAGGACATCATCTCTTTAATTGATCATCTCAAGATTGCATTTTTTCTATTTATATAACTTCGTATGAAATTTTAAGATCTACCAGTATTAAATGGCGGCAGTCGTCGCACCGTGTCCTGTTCGTTTTGAAACTACGTATACAACGCGTGTAAAATACATTGTTTATTTACATGAAATTCAAACACGCACTGCGCGACGACCACCACGCTTTAAACATTATTCAACGATCCTTAAAATTTGTATCAGCAAACGTTCAAACGTTTCCCTATTTGGGGAAAACTGCATCACAAACGTTAGCGCTCTCAAAATTATTGATGTCGTATTCAAACATTTTCTTTAGTTTACTTTGGACACAGAAGCGATAAAGCGGGTGATGAAAACGAAATACTGTCATCAAATGCTTTCACACAGCGCAAAATATCTCTTATCTCTTTGTGACAAGCAGGCTATTGGTGATGAAGTTCATGTTATGTTCACTTGTAACAACAGTGAAATTTCAAAAGCTCGTGCTGTTTTTAATAAAGAAATTCACTGTTATGACTTCACTATTAGCGAGCTCTCAAGGTATTGAGCAATTGCTTGGAACAAAAGATAGCTTCATTGCCAATGGCCTTGCCAAGTTTATTCATTCCATTTTAAATTATTTCTAAAACTTTTTTCTTGTTGTTGCTGTGCTGTTAATAGATAAGTTTCTTGAACATGGACAATGTATTGTAGATACAAAGTTTTGTGTCAAATAAATTATATATCTATTTATCTATAAAATTGTGGGGAGATTCATTTGATTTATGGAGCTTTCTTCATAACCATGTTTTCTTCATATTTCATTTTTTGCATGTAATGCTATGAGAAACTAGCACACCTAGTTTTAATTCGACCAATATTTGTTTCGAACGTCACAGTATACACCATATTCGTAATCTGGCAATGAGAACGTCTCCTGCCCTAAAAATTGTTACTCGGCGCAATCTATGGCAACATTGTATGTTTTTGCGCTTGTTTTGAGCAGTTGCGTTTCAGTTGTTCTCGAGTTAACATGTATGTATGTTATTGAAGAATAAACGAGATTGAGTTCTAGTTTACATGACGTGTCCGTTTCAGTTTTCACTACCGTGACTTAGAAGATCCGAACCTTCCCTTCTCCCACAAAAATTAGTACTGCAAGCAAGAGAAAGATGTATAATATCACAAGAATACAGCATAACTGCATTGACATGTATGTGTCGTTACGATCACCGTACTTACTTCCTTCATCCATACTCTTGTGATACTCTTGTATAGACCGGTATTATAAAATGAATGCACAATGAATATTGTTTTTTACATACTGAAAAATGACTAATTTTCACTAAATTTTCATTAAATTTAGCATTTCAGGCATATTCAGTGGGTTTTAAATTTACAGTTTTATCATTTAGATAATGTGTTCTATGCTAAATTTTACATATTCACTGGGTTTTATTTTAGATCATTTTCCAGTCAGCGGAATAAGCAAAATTAAAACCCAGTGAATAATTAATCCTTTTACAGTATATATGGCAATGGACACTTTAGAAGATGCTAAAAAATTAGTGTTTTCAACATCTACTACATTAATAATCACCATTTATCTCGCCAGTTGTTGGTATATGTTTGTATAAATTGTACTTGGATCTTTGAATTATTATATCTTACAGTTTATCGGGGCCTGTGGCTTATATAACTCGCCATACTGTATATGATAGGAGTGATGGTGACATGTGTGAACAATCTATCTTCATTGAAATTAAGAATCATTATTTTCCTTTAGATAAATATCTGAAGAATGCTTTATTTGTGGAAAAACTTTTTGTTTAACACATCAACTGCTGAAAGCAGAGAAAAATGAGGGCACTGAACATGTTTAAATTTACAAAATTTAACAAAACCAATAGTTTGTTACATGATTATTATTAAAATTTAAGAATTTTGAACAAAGTTTGAATTTTCTGAACCTCCTAGAAGCAATGTATAGAAATATGTAATAACTTGACCATGTTCAAAACCAAATGATTGTGATATCTGTCTGTCTGTGCGTCATTTGTCCGTCTGTCATCTTCTGAATTCTCACCCAAATATAGATGTGTCCAGGACTTTCAATGTTGTTATTGATTGTTTAAATTGTTGTAATGTCCATGGTTGAGACTTATTATACTCTTCAGCTGGGATATGACTACTGCTACTGGCGCTAAAAATAGACAGATGAATAAGACAACGTTTAAAGGACAGAGACAAAAAAAATGTTTTTCCGGGTTTCTGCCAAAATATTGTAATAATGAAAGAAAAAAGTCACCACAAAACATTTTTGTAGAAAGGGATTTACGAATCAGCAATCCAAAACAGTTTGTTTGTAATGTTGATCTTCGAAATTAAGGTAAAACATTTAATCTTGTGTATTTGTCAAAGCGGAGGGGTGGTCAACTGCGCATGCACTGGAATTTAGTCCCAAGCGAGGATAACGATGCACACTAAAAATTTTCGTTATATTAGTCAGTTCTCAAACAATTTTAGCCAAACATGATTGACAGGTAAAATTAGAATTCAAATATTAAAATCATATTATAGAAAATATTAGAATTTGTTACAAAAAGATAAAATAGATTTAAAATTTACAATATTACATTACCTTAAACATGGCAGGAGGAATAATAATGTATTCAGTCACACTTTGTGGCTTAGACTTTGCAACATTTTACTATTTCCTATTGTTACATTACCTTATATATTCTGGATCATTAAAACTCATCAGTATATCTGTACTAAACTGTGGTAGCCTAAACAATGCCATGTGTACATTCACTGTATTCTTTGCCTAGAAATGTAAAAACGTGTCATACAATGTAAATTATGGATGGTAATTGTCTTTTCTCGTAATGTTATGTATTATTAACTTTTTGAGGCTGGGACACAACACCCTCCTATGCAAGTTTATAGTTTGCAGCATAATACCAACCAAAGAGGTATAGTGGTAGTGTAATGCTGTTTCTAAACAAAAACAAAAGAAATGTTGTTGTTGTTTTTGTCAACATGACTGACTGATGTACACAAAATTAAGGGATCAGAAATGAACCAATAAGTGATATATGATTTACGTTTGCCTGCACCAAAGGATCTGAAAAAAATGTCCAGTTTGCAGATGTTCAGTTAAACAAGCCATGCATGGCATAGTCCCTGTTAGTTATCAAATTTAAGATATATACTGTGGAATACAGTATTTTCGCTTGGAATTTATTTTCGCTGATGGGATGATTCTGTGAAAATAAAATTCAGCGAATATACTTTTTTTCCTATATTTTACATTAAACTCATCAAAAATCAATGAAAATAAATTCCATACAAAATGCCCGAAAAGCCTTTTCAGCGAAAATTAATTCCAGCGAAAATAAAGTATTCCACAGTAGTTTTGTTTATAGTTAGAACATAAACATGTCAGAAGTATGGATCCAGAAAATGATGCTTGATTATGATGATTTTTTAACATTAAAATGATTGACATCTTGTATCTGATCGTCAAACAAGTACTTGTCTATATTGAGAAATATTAAAATTTGCTCTGGAACAGTATTAATTAAGACAAAATGGCCACCATTTTGAATACATTTATATATCTATATGTTTATTGGCATCTTGTATCTGATTGTCAAACGAGTACTTGTCCATATTGAGAAATATTAAAATTTGCTCTGGAATAGTATTAATTAAGACAAAATGGCCACCATTTTGAATGAATCTTTATCTAAAACATAATGTAAAACGAATATATAAAATTTGAACATAATTTAAACAAAATGTGTTTACACAGTTTACAACAGTTTTTAGTATACAAAGTTGTTCATGCATTTCACAAAGGTGTTTACACAGTTTACAAAAGTGTTCAGTTTACAGAGATATTTTTAGTATACAGTGTGTTTTTCTGTAGTTTACAATGGTGCTGTTGAAGCAGTTTACATCGTTCATATGTTTGCTGACTATAAATTACCTGTTCATTGAACTTTGCAATGCATTGTTTTCCACTCAGTAACCATGCACTGCAACAACTGAAAAACAAAACACATTTCAAAAATGAGACTTGTTTTGCTACAATGAAAATGAATCTGCAGTGTCACTCATGAGATATTCTTTATTACATGCGATAGTTACTGTACATATTGTGCTGCAGCTGGGCCACAACACTAATTTGCATATCAAGTTGCTGTATGACATGATGTCATAAAGTCAATACACATACAAAGTACAATACACAAACGTCTAATGTACGTTTTCTATGTTTATCCCACTGCGATAGTTTTCAACTGCATACCAGCTTTCAAAATGCAGACTTTACCCTGGCTCAAGATAGTGGTTGTAATTGTGTACATACACGATAATCATTTCAATATTTTGAACTCTGTAAATTAAATTTACTTAACATTAACTAATACCCAATGCTGGAGATTAAAGTAAAGAAAATAAATATAAGTAAAATAAAGGCATAATTAATATTACCAAAGGTACATTACTTGGGGCTTGCAACGCGCATAGTACTGTATGGTGACATCATATCAAGATCCCATTCACTTCTCATCTCGTAGATAGCGAGACTGATGCTACGACCTTCTGACATAACATAGGCGATTTGTAATAAAACAATATAACATGTATTACCACATTCATAGTGAAAAAATGTAAAATATAGTTACCGTAATCCGTCATATCGTGGGCAGCTATTTTGATCCACCTGGACATCCCAGTATCCTAGTTACCTCGGGTATTCACATTTTCCTGAGTTTTAACGCTTATGCGAGAGCGAGAGCGAGATTGAAATGGGATCTTGGTATCATGTCACCCTAGTTGCAAACCCCAAGTAATGTACCTCTGTTATTACATAAAATCTGTATTACAAGCGATGGTACAATACACCAGAGGGGACGCAGCTTCTATTAGATCATCCACCCATATTAGAAATGGTGAACTTTTGGTTCTCAATTGTTTAAAAATAATGGACGTGGCTTCTAATACAGATTGTACAGTAATAACTGAAAAGATTTAACTTACTCTTTTACAGAAATTTGTTGTAACGGAATTTCTTCAGTTATTTGCACTTCACTACAAGAGGAGTCATTACTTTCGGCAATATCATGAAAATGGAAACTGTACAGGAGAAAAATTATACATCATTTTTTTAAAATCATTTAAATATTTTGGCAGAAGAAAATCTGGTACAGTGAACTATAAATTTAAATAATTTTTTTACAGTTTACAAAAGTTTTGAAAATGAGAAAAATGAGAAATCTGATATATAAAAAGTTGAATTTTGACCTTTTTACTGCCATTTTTCTCCCAACTTTGGTGCAAATATTTACAATTTTTTTAATAACTTTCTCTAAATTTTGAACCAGGCAGACAACTTATGTCGTAGCTTATAGATATTTATCATAACTTTTTAAATTTTTATAAACGCTGCCTTTTATGAGAATAACACTTTGAGCACCTCATTTTTTTCTTGCCACAATTTGCAAATTTTTATGGATTTTTCTACAATTATTTGTTATAGTTTTGGGTTAAATAGACAGTTTTACAGTTCTTGATAAAAAAAAAATTTTGTAAAAATGGAATGGAATATTGAGTGATGGTTGATAATTATAAAGTCAGGTATTTTTTTAAACAAGGGAACAGGGTTGCAGCGCCCTCATGCCATGGCCATGCGCCCCCTTACCCTGGGGAGCAGATCCTCTGGCAACCATAAAATTCTGATTGACCATGCAGGGATCACATGTGGCCACAGTCTTTAACTGTGACTGTCTGATAGTAATTTGGGGCCCTAGAAAGCCATAGAATGCTCCATTTTCACTTACTTAGAATTATCAAAAATTCCACACCCTGGTAGGGAGAACCCTATCTCCCCCACTTGGTGGCGCCGCTGAATTGTAGTGCTCCCTCTTGCAGTTTTTTTCTAGAAAAAAACCTGTAAAGTGAATATGTCAAGGGGCAGTGGTTGCAATATAATTAAAAAAATTAACATCTGAATTGGTTTAGCTAATTTTTGTTTGTTTACATAAAGTTACATAATGCTTAGTGACATCATCTGACTTTATGAATAATTAATCAAATTACATAATGCTTTGTGACATCATCTGACTTTATGAATAATTATTCAGGGATTTTTCTGGAAAATTTTTTAAGAGGGAGCACATCTTTGTTACCATTGGTAACACTGTATATTTGATATAACTGATCATAATCTACTGACTGTTCCAGGTTCTGTAAGAGGGCACAAGCCTGGGGTATGAGGGTGCTGCGGCACTGATTCCTTGTTTGGAAGAACCTCTGATTAATCACACAACATAATGCTTAGTGACATCATCTGACTACATGAATAATTAATGACATGATATAAGTGCTTAGTGACATCATCTGACTACATGAATAATTAATGACATGATATAAGTGCTTAGTGACATCATCTGACTTTATGAATAATTAATGACATGATGTAAGGGCTTAGTGACATCATCTGATTTTATGAATAATTAATGACATGATGTAAGCGCTTAGTGACATCATCTGACTTTATGAATAATTAATGACATGATGTAAGTGCTTAGTGACATCATCTGACTTTATGAATAATTAATGACATGATGTAAGTGCTTAGTGACATCATCTGACTTATGAATAATTAATGACATGATATATGAGCTTAGTGACATCATCTGACTTTATGAATAAATAATGACATGATGTAAGTGCTTAGTGACATCATCTGACTTTATGAATAATCAATGACATGATGTAATGCTTAGTGACATCATCTGACTTTATGAATAATTAATCCCCTTACATAATGATTAGTGACATCATCTGACTTATGAATAATTAATGACATGATATATGAGCTTAGTGACATCATCTGACTTTATGAATAAATAATGACATGATGTAAGTGCTTAGTGACATCATCTGACTTTATGAATAATCAATGACATGATGTAATGCTTAGTGACATCATCTGACTTTATGAATAATTAATCCCCTTACATAATGATTAGTGACATCGCCTAACTTCATGAATAATTAATCCCATTACATAATGCTTAGTGACATCATCTGACTTCATGAATAATTAATGACATGATGTAATGCTTAGTGACAACATCGGACTTCATGAATAATTAATCACATTACATAATGCTCAGTGACATCATCTGACTTCATGAATAATTAATCAAATTTGATATTGTTTAGTGACATCATCTGACTTCATGAATAATTAATCAAATTTGATATTGCTTAGTGACATCATCTGACTTCATGAATAATTAATCACATTACGTAATGGTTAGTGACATCATCTGACTTCATGAATAATTAATCACATTACATGTTGCTTAGTGACATCATCTGACTTCATGAATAATTAATCACATTACGTAATGCATAGTGACATCATCTGACTTCATGAATAGATAACCTAATTACATAATGCATAGTGACATCATCTAACTTTATGAATAATTAACCAAATTTGATATTGCTTAGTAACATCATCTGAATTCATGAATAATTAATCACATTACATGTTGCTTAGTGACTTTATGAATAATTAATTCCCTTACATAATGCTTAGTGACATCATCTGACTTCATGAATAATTAATCATGTTACATAATGCTTAGTGACATCATCTGACTTCATGAATAATTAATCATGTTACATAATGCTTAGTGACATCATCTGACTTCATGAATAATTAATCATGTTACATAATGCTTAGTGACATCATCTGACTTCATGAATAATTAATCAAATTACATATTGCTTAGTGACATATTTTGAAATGAACACTATTCTATCATGCGTTTACAGCAGCAGTGCACAACACAATAGGTTCATGCTAACAGTCTCACATGCACAAAAAGTGTGACAGCCTGTATGTACCTCACTGCATTTTTGTCTTCGATTTGTTGATATTCCAGTATTTCAATAATCATACTTTGATCTGTTGATGGATGAGCAAACACCTCTTGGTTGTCAGGAATTTCCCGTAATTCACTGAAAATTGAACAAAAATCGTTTAATCAACCTTGCCCACAAGCAAGTGGCCATTATACATCTGTATGCTTGCAAGAACATTCTTCACTGTTTAAGGCAGTACACAGTGTCCACTTCGCTGGGAATAAAGTCAGGGCATTTTAACTTCACCACAATGATGCATTTTGCTGTGAGGGGTAGAAGACTGTAACTAATTTTGCTGTTAGGGAGTTCTGTGATGTACTTTGCTGTGAGTGGTGTAAGGCAGTAACTAATTTTGCTGCTAGGGGGCTCTGTGATGTACTTTGTTGTGAGTGGTGCAAGGCAGTAGCTAATTTTGCTGCTAGGGGGCTCTGTGATGTATTTTGCTGTGAGTGGTATAAGGCAGTAACTAATTTTGTTGCTAGGGGGCTCTGTGATGTATTTTGTTGTGAGTGGTGCAAGTCAGTAACTAATTTTGTTGCTAGGGGGCTCTGTGATGTACTTTGTTGTGAGTGGTGCAAGTCAGTAACTAATTTTGTTGCTAGGGGCTCTGTGATGTATTTTGTTGTGAGTGGTGCAAGTCAGTAACTAATTTTGTTGCTAGGGGGCTCTGTGATGTATTTTGTTGTGAGTGGTGCAAGTCAGTAACTAATTTTGTTGCTAGGGGGCTCTGTGATGTATTTTGTTGTGAGTGGTGCAAGGCAGTAACTAATTTTGCTGCTTTGGGGTCTGTGATGCAATGAGTGTTGCAAGGTTGTATCTAACTTCGCTGCTAATGATCAGTGCTCTGTGATTTACTTTCTGTGTGGGTTGTAATGGCATACTAACTTAGCTGTCATGTGACACACTTATTAACTTTGCAAATGTTGTTTTCTGAGTCACACACACAAATAAACTAGAAGTATTGCACTATTTATTAAATAGTATCACCAAATAATGTTATTATAAATGTTTTTGTTTTATTTTTAGATTGTAAAAATATAACATTTACCATATTTTATTTTTAGCTCATTCACAACACGAGAAAAAAAAAACATATAACCACAAACTCGTGAATGTCTAAACTGTAAACCTGTTATGAATATGCCCCCTCCATATTATTGGTATACTGTAAAATATTTGTTTTTTTTTGGCTTGGAACAAGTTTTCACTATTTTCGCTGAAGGAATGATTCAGTGAAAATAGAATCCAGTGAATATACTTTTTTTCCTATATTTTACATTCAACTCGTCAAAAATCAGTGAAAATAAATTCCACCAAAAAAGTCTTTTCGGCGAAAATTAATTCCAGCTAAAATAAAGTATTTTACAGTATGAAGCAACAGTGGGAGGGGCTGAATTTGGGTTAGCATAGTACAAGCCAATTCCTCCGGAATGAAGTGATATTGCAAGAAATTTCAAGTTTCTGTTGGTTTTAATGTGGCGTGGCAATAGTACATATTAAACAGTTTATACAAAAATAAAGAACATTGAACGTACCTGATATCCACAGCTCCGTTAAGTAGCACCACAGTTAACGCACCTCCGAAAAGCTGACGATCAATCGAACCCGACATTTGTTGCTGAGGACTTGTGTGAATGATCAGGTTCTCTCAGATGTCGACATTCACTCAATTTTACGAATAGAAACAGCAATTTAAAAGCAATCGGCAACGATCTGTGTCACAGGTTGTGGTGACAAAAAACGTGCCGGTATATAAACCATAAACCGACTAGATCCAGAACAAGTACCGGTGTTCACCAGTAAAACAACATTCACACGTTTTTTTACTGAAAGGTCAAATGTAATGGTTCAAAGGTTGCAGCCTCGCTTCAAAAACGGAATCGCGACTTTTTTATTTGTAAGTAGGGGTGGACGACGGCTTTGATGAGGTGAGATGAATTTGTGAGCAATATTAAAAAAAATACCATATTAGAAATGTTAAAGAAAATTTCACGAAATATTTAAAACATTTTATTCGATAAAAATACAAATATATTTTACAACCCTCTCGTTCTCTTCAACTCCAAGGGGTGACAGAATGGAATAGTCTTAGAAACCCTAAAGGTGGATCTTAAAAGTATTGTGTTTCCAAACATTGTCTTGGTTCCCTAACATTTTAATTCTCCGGGACTTAAACGATTACAATCATGCCGAAGAAAAAAAAGACGGGGAAAAAGAAATCCAAATCTAAACGAGTAGTGACAGAGCCGCCACGACCAGTCGATCCGATCCCGCCGTTGCCACCGCTTCCGCCGCAGCCTTCGTACGGAGAATCGGTAAGTCGTTACGAGAACCCCAATTCGTTACGAGATTGTGGTGGCTAACTACGCAAGTTGTGAGAACTGTTATCCAAATAATTCAGCAAAGCTCTTATATTGTTTCATGTACTATTTTATACCGACTCATTGCTGCATACTTGTCCCGAGATTAGGTTACCCCTCGACAACAATACAGAGAGTTGTAGCTATTTAGGTTGTTGTTGACATAATATAAAAACAACATAACTTAACACACAGTCTTATTCAGTGGACTGTTGACAACAATTCCCCACTGTTTATGGATTTTGTTTTTTGGTATGAAACAACGTTGTGTTTATATTAGTGATCCCACTCAATCTGTTTAAAGTATGATATACGCTCATATGTTGTATATTTGAATTTGGCCATTTTTATTTTTTTTTAAATGGAGCCAATATCTATATCGGATTTCAACAACTGGATTTCATTCATATTTAGATTCAACTGTACTGGCCAATTTTGACTAGTGACTTTACCTTACTACACTACTAGTAGTATAATAATATTAATCATGTTTGTTTATTTCCAAAGTACTAAATGCCACTGGCCTAATGTACACTAAAAGATATACATCACTGGTCACTGATTACTAAAAAAAAGGTTAAAATGAATAAAATACAGTTCAATATCATTAAGGGGAGCTTCCTCTAGCAACATTTTTCTTTTGCAAAAGAAATAAAATAAATATTTAGCAAAAAGTCTGACAATTTGTGGATTTTAGTTTGTCATCAAATTAATGAACTGATGGTATAAAGGAGGCTGCATAGTGTATGCAATTAGAATATACTCGGTACCACTTCCTACCTCATTGTAAAAATTGAAACTCGTTTTCAACTATATAACAACAAAGTAGGCAAATCCTGTCTTTCAAATGATCTACAACACTACACCATTGTTGGAAATAGATGTCAAAAGACCGCTGACGAAACAAGCCAAGTAAAACATTTTTCATCACCAGCACCCTGGTTGTAACACATCTCTCCAAAGCCATAACTAAAAAGTATTTCTACATTAATAAACCACCACGATGTAATGTCAATTAGGGGCTTGAATAAAAACAATTCCTATCAATTAGTTTAATTTGTAATATCTCAAGTTTAAACTTCCTTACTTCAAACATATTTATTGATTGACTACCAAAGTTGATTTTAATGCAATACTGTAAAATGACTAATTTTCACTGGGTTTAAATTTCACTGATTTACTATTTCAGGCATATTCAGTGGGTTTAAAATTCATTGTTTTATAATTTGGATAATGTGTTCCATGCTAAATTACATATTCACTGGGTTTTAATTTAGCTCATTTTCCAGTCAGCAAAATAAGCAAAATTAAAACCCAGTGAATAATTAACCGCTTTACAGTATATAATCTTATAATTTTATGATGTATGAATGTATATATAACATATATGATGTATGGAAATGTTTATACTGGTAATGTTGCTATATTGTCGTTGAAGTTTTTTTTGTTTTGTTTGTTTTATTGAGCTAGACCCAGCAAGCAAAAAACCCAAATGCATTTCATGTATTTACACTCGTCAGTTTGAATGTAATCCCAATTTTAGCTGCTTATTACTCCAGTAAAATCACCTTTCTGGGATAGTTGTGCAGGAAGAGTAATTCCCTGTAAAGTCTCTCATTCAGAATTGCTTTTCATCATAGTCTCTTCTATCAAGCTCTGTTTCCATAGATACATACTGACTAAGTGCTGATTGTTTCAATGCTATGAAAACATTCACACTGCAAAAAAAAAGTGAAACATATACTTTAATGTGTCAGTAAAATGGTACATACTTGCAGATTACATTGTTATTAGAAATCCATTAATAGTATTGTTTTCTTTGACAGATTCGTGATATATTAATGGGTTCTAAGGTTACTGTAACTGAGAAAGAATACTTGGGTGTTAAAATTTCTAGTAAAATACTTGATGAATTAACGCCACAAGAGATAAGAGACTTAAAAACTGTTTTTGATGCATTCAGCAATCGAAGAAGGTGAGTACTTCATATTTATGTACCGTAAGTAAAAAGGTTTGTGATATCAATGAGAATGCTACACTCCCTCACTCACTCAATTACTTCATTCACACTACAGTATTTTATCAAAGCCTATTTTAACGACTAGAGCCAGCAACAATTGCTCCAGCCAAGCTTTAATAAATCTCAGGGTTGAGCTCAGAAAAGACAGGATCCAACATTTCTCTGACTGTTGTAAACACATCAAATCAAAATCACATCCTCTATCACCTTCTTTGAATTGGTGATTTTTCGTACAATTGCGAGATCTTGCGAGATGCATGAAAGACGCGCGTCGAACGTCTGCCGCAAAAATCGAACGATTTGATTTTGAACTTGAATTTCTTTATTCCGTAGCTCACATCGACCGGCCGATCTTCGACAGAGGAATATTGCTTCCGAATACCCTTACTTAATCGAAATTGCCTATCATCAAATGTGGACAGCACATTATAAGCATGGAAATGTCTCCCAAAATACTTTCGCGTTTGTCGAATCCCACGCAATGTTTGACGCCACTACAACGCTATGACCTTTGTTTGTCCTGTTTTTACGTTCGATTTCACGCATAACGCGTGATTCTCGCAGTGAACGGAAAATGGTCTATTATGTTCCATGTAAATCATAAGGAGTCAGTATCATTTGTAATTTCTGTGTGGAAAGTGTTGGTGTAAGATTGCAAAAATAAGTGTTCATTGGTGGTGATTGGTGCAAATCGTTCGCTGCATTCTTGTCTTGAGCATACCTGGTTTTATAAAGAATGTAGTCCTGTCATGATGGGAAATTTATAGGAGGAGCAATATTTCCTCTCTGATAAAATGCTAGCATGTAAACCTAGTAATTGATTCGCTATTGGTGAACTACTTTAAGCTGTACACCAAGCTATACCAATATGAAGATAGTATTTGTTTTGAAGATTAGCAATGAATGCTGTGCTTGTTGTATCAACAATCCATGAAATGCAGAAATAGAACTGGAATTGTTGCCACTGGAAAATTAATATTAAACACAATTTAAAGAAAAATCATGTCTTGGTATTAGGTTTATGGTTTATTATCAATATATGGTATAACTACCGGTACATTATACTATTAACGGCTTAATTACATTGTGATTGCATTCCTCTATAGGACTGCAATTTAATTGAGTTGAATTAAACTTTCAATTGAATTGAATTGAATTGAATTTAGTGTGATTTAACTGAATGTAAGTTAATTTATGGCTTCATTTTTCATGGGGAACCGATGTGAGTGTGTTGCTCCACAAATTCTGGTTACGGTTGTCAACTGCTCAAACACAAATCATGCTATGAATATATTTGCTTGTATACTGTCTAATTTATGTGGATCTATCAATTTGTCAACAAAAAATTCATAACACAGCTATTCATAATAATACTCAAAAATAAATTAAATATTATATTTCTGCTCTCTGTATTAATTCACAATACAAAATTGTACATTTTTTACAGACAAATTGATGCTATATCGTTGCAGAGAGCAATGAGAGCTCTGGGATTCAAAATAACCAGGTCTGATGCAAGAGAAATGATACGAGATGTAGATGTTGATAGAACAGGGTAAGTAACAAACAAACAAACAGCTCTATTAGTGGCATACATGTACATAAATAAATGACACAAATAATAAAAATATGTTTCATATGAATGATCCAGCATACAATAAATGCAATTTTGACAGAAGTTTGTTATCACTTTTCAGAACCATTAAGTGAGTGGTGATAACCCAGATTTCTAGATTTTTTTCAATTTTATCAGAAAATAACTCTTCCAAATGCATGAATCAAAATAGCGGTATCCTAAAATTTATATTATTTTTAATATTATGTAATATTTTGATGTTAGTTTTCATTCACACTATTATATTTATTTTTACTTAACAATGTAAACACAAGTTCTTGTTTGACAAACATAAATGTTTTGTAAAAAATTTTGTTTTTTGCGCTAAATTTAATTTTCAGTTTTATTCGATCATAAAATCATAAAAAAAATGTCCAATGATGCATTGTGATATGCATATGTATTAAAAATATGTATTTTCTTATCATGTGATGTGCATGTAACCAATCAAAATGCATTATTTAATCAAGGGCAGGTTGCAGGTTATACTTTAATATGAAGTTTTAATGAAGTCTATTCATATTTTTTTTTCAGAATGATAGAATTTAATGAATTTTTAGAATTTGTAATCCAGCATCAAGGATCAGCACAAGATATTCATGATGAGATTAAACAAGGTTTTCAAATGTTTGATTTTGGTAAGATTATTATAATCCCATGTGTGATATTTTCTCTCAGCTTTACATCAGTAGACACAAGTGATTATCAATTTGTGCAGCGATTTTTTTAAACGTAGGGAACAGCGGCGCAGCGCCCTCTTGCCATGGCCATGCGCCCCCTTAATCTGGGTAGCAGATCCTCTGACAACCATAAAATTTAGATTGACCAGGGATCACAGTCTTCAACTGTGACCTGTCTGATAGTAATTTTGGCCCCAAGGAAGCCATAGAATGCTCCATTTTAACTTAGAATTATCAAAAACCCCACACCCTGGTAGGGAGAACTCTATCTCCCCCACTTGGTGGCGCCGCTGAATTGCAGTGCTCCCTCTTGCAGTTTTTTTCTAGAAAAACCCCTGTGTTGTATTATGAGGTTATTTTGAGGATGCCGCGCATTATGCACAAAGACAATATAACGAAAGTTGATGAAATATCACATACTGTCTGAGTGCATACAGTATATTCCTAAACACCTCATTATTATAAATCTTCCCAAACCATGCACTTAGTTTCGAAAGCCCCTAGCTGAGCAAACTGATTACAATTATTACAACTTTCACGATATAATCAACATTTTTAAAAGAGTCCGCTATCTTGGAAATACCCTATATTTGTTCAATATTTGAAAATTGCATTATATAATTTGATAGGCTGAAGATACACTGTGTAAAACCGCAAAATATGACATTGTGCCTTATATCGACACAGTGCTAGATATATATTACTGTAAAATACTTTATTATAGCTTAGAATTAATTTTCGCTATTTTTGCTGGAGGAGTGATTCAATGAAAATATAATCCAGCGATTATACCTTTTTTCCTATATTAAAATTCAACTCATCAAAATTCAGTGAAAATTAATTCCAGTGAAAATGAATTATTTTACAGTAAATATATTTTATCACATGTGTATTTCTATGGTTTGAAAACAACAAGTTTTTTAATGTCAAGTATTGTTGATATAATTAAAAGTTATTTTTATTGTGTTGTAATCACATGTCCTTGTATCAACACAGAAAAATACCCCACATGAACAAATTACCAGGTAACAGCAAAGTTGACCTGGTTTATACCACAAGTATTGGCTGCCATTTGTATTAACCTTTTCACAACCATACTTATTCATCCATTTTTTTTCTGTATTTTTTTTTTATATTCTTCAATATTTCTGGAAATGAACCCTAATTTTAGAGCCAAAAAACAAAATTTGAGTCAATTTTCATTTTTTACTTTGGTTTTTTGTCCCAGGTTTCTAAAGCAAAGTGCAGACTATAAATTGGACTATTTTGTGAATTTGAGATGAAAAGCAGGAATTGGTGGTGAAAAGATTAAAACAAAGTTATACAAATTCAAAATGTTGTGGGCACAAAGCAGTATGTGGGAACAGACTGAAATCTAGTGTAGCTTACAGTGGTAACACAAACAAAAGCTGTGGGATTGCAATACAGTTATTGTAGAATACTTTATTTTCGCTTGGAATTTATTTTCGCTATTTTCGCTGAAGGGATGATTCCGTGAAAATAAAATCCAGCGAATATATTTTTTTCCCTATATTTCACATTAAACTCATGAAAAATCAGTGAAAATAAATTCCAAGCAAAACGCCCAAAAAGCCTTTTCAGCGAAAATTAATTCCAGCGAAAATAAAGTATTCCACAGTAAGTTCTGTTCAATCTGATTAATGTCTTTGTTTTATTTTCAGATGGTACGGGACAACTTACTCTAGACAATTTAAAATTAGCTTGTAAAGAAACTGGAGTGAAATTTACAGAACAGGAATTAAAGGACATGATAGAAGAAGCTGATACTAATGGTGATAACCAGGTTGATGAGGAGGACTTTATTAATGTTATGTTGAAAACAAACTTGTTTTAATCCACCTGCAGCCACTTTTTTTATCTTACAAAATGTTTCATTACGACATCGCTTACTGAAATCGATAGCTGATATGAATGATATATAATGGCATCAGTAGAAAACGTGTTTAAAAGGAGAAAGGAGATTAACAAACTTTTTCACATTTACTTTCTGTATCAAATCTGACACAATGTAAAAAAATATTTTTGCTTGGAAATAATTTTCGCTATTTTCGTTGAAAGAATGATTAAGTGAAAATTAAATCCAGCGAATATACCTTTTTCCTATATTTTACATTCAACTCATCCAAAATCAGTGAAAATAAATTCCATACAAAACATCCAAAGTGTCTTCTCAGTGAAAATTAATTCCAGCTAAATTAAATTATTTTACAGTAGTCCCTGTCCAAGATTAAAGTGATAGTTTTAAGTGAAGTCTTGGATCAACTTAGTCTTGGACAGGGACTATGTCATCAACAGTGATCAGTTTCTGTAAGTAGTAGACATTGATCCCAAATGTACATAGCAATTTGAAACAACACTGCTAATTATAAAGTAACATTTTTCACCATTTGGGAATCGAGGTAATGGAAAAATAATGTTTTTTTTCAGTCTTTTTTTTTGCAAGTACTGATTAACGCTGTAAATACGAATTATGCTAATTGCATGGGACAATTCTAGTGATTGGGTCAAACTAGCATCTTGCCACTTCGTCAATTTAACAATTTTTTACAACAATAATTTTGTATAATAATAGAAATTAAAATTAACTATTTGCATTATCGAAAAGAAAATTAACTGTCATCATGTATATACTTTATTTCAGAAAACACACATTATATCCTTTGTTAATTGAAAGATAATAAAATCATGTAAAAATGTTTTGCAAGTAGTTTAAGACAAATCTTCAATAGACCATTTTCCGTTCACTGCGAGAATCACGCATTATGCGTGAAATCGAACGTAAAAACAGGACAAACAAAGGTCTTAGTGGCGTCAAACATCACGTGGGATTCGACAAACGCGAATGTATTTTGGGGGACATTTCCATGCTTAATAATGTGCTGTCCACATTTGATGATAGGCAATTTCAATTAAATAAGGGTATTCGGAAGCAATATTCCTCTGTCGAGATCGACCGGTCGATGTGAGCTACGAAATAAAGAAATTCGAGTTCAAAATCAAATCGTTCGATTTTTGCGGCAGACGTTCGACGCGCGTCTTTCATGCATCTCGCGAGATCTCGCAATTGTACGGAAAATCACCTATTCACATATATTTTAATCAGAATTTGCTGTACCATGAGCCGCAGTCACATTGGTTTGGATTCTGACTGTTCACCATAGTCTACTAGAAGCATTAAAGTGCCTGTGCAATGCCTGCTATTATCATGTATTGGTACATAAATATTATTATTTTGTATGTTACTAAGTACAAAATAAATTTTTAAAGTGAAAAAATGGGTTTCAAACCCAGTTTATGCCAATTTTATTTTATGTATTTTAAAACTAGGTTCCACATTAACATTAACCACATTAATTTGCATACTGAAATACATGTACCCATTGTGACGTATGAAGGGGAACTTGCTGGTCAGCGTGCATTGCTGATAATGTATATAAGGCACATTTCTTATTCAATTTTCTTGTCTTTGACTAAATTGCCACTCGTGTATTCGTTTCTCAAGGAAGGTTGAACGGTAAAGAACACATATTATCAAGTTTATCTTACAGGGTTGAGTTAGATACAAAATATATCCCTTCTGGCGTAGTTGGTTGAAGTGCTAACATCTATTGCCATGGAACTCTCCACGATCTCTATTTATCTATGTCGATTCAAGTGCTGTGTGAATTCCTGTTTGACCGACATCGGTTTTCGTGATACGTCATTGATACCTCTTTCATTACATGAACTATATGATCTTTTCAAAACGTTATTCAGATTCCCAAAACATTTGAAACAGTTACCCGACGCTTCTCTCTCTTTGAAAGCCGAAGCGGTGAACATGGGCTGGTGAATCTGGTTCTTTTAAAAGTGCCAGGTTTAATTTTTCCGCATTTGTCTTTAAATCCAAGTTGTTCATTTATAAACGAGGACAATTGTTCCACATAGGAACATAAGGAACATATAAGGAAAATGTCTATCCCAACTTTTTCCCATTGATTTTACGGCTTTCGTCTACTGATGTTGCGCCTTCTGGTCATTTGGAAACATTAAAATTCTCATACTATTCCGCCAAATACAAGTTTAAAAAAAAAAACGCCAACCAAAAAATATATCGTTAATATTGACGTTAAATGACACAGTATTATAAAAGTGAAGTGCAAGAGTATGGCTTCCTCTCATATTTTGCCGTTTGCTACGTGGCGCATTTTTACTTCAGCTGAAGTCGGAAAGCTGGAAACAGTAGACTGTTTCAGGATAGATGGGCATGACTACAACACGAGAAATTTCTCAAATTTACTTGGATATGAATAATCATTTTCAACCAAAAATTCAATAACTGTCCATTTCAGTGGAACAAAAATCCAAAACAGGAAATGTGTGGTTGGGCATTTCACAGGCACTTTGACTTTCCATAGTTATAGTCATTTGACCAGAAACTCAATTGTTGATATTTTCGAATATTATTCCATGCATGGTTCTGCAAGATGCATATCTTTTCGGGGCGGACATACAGGCATTTTCACCGCATGGCAACCATCACGGTGAAAACAAAGGCCGAAAACTCTCAGAAAACAGTGTTTTGGGATAGTTGTTGAGACTCCCCTGAACAGTGTAACAAGATTAGCCCTACGTGTGTAACATATATAAATTTGATTGTTCAGGATTACTTTAAAGTTGAGTTTGTGTTGTTTTCTCGAATTTTCACCAACTCTTCACTCGGCGTTCCACAGCAGCGCGCACAGAGCCCGTAGAAATGCATGTACAGTGGTGCGCGTCTTAGCAACGTGGAACGTCTGTGACGTAGCTCCGCCCCTGAGGATAGCAATATATGGCATCCTCTAATTCTTCATTTTAAGACATTATACAACATTTGTTTTTATTATTGAAAACCTTTTTTTTATTCCAAATAAAATTAATCCAAATTACAAACCCCTCATAAATTATTGTACATCACCTGAAAAAGTCATTTTCGTAAAAAAAATCATCTCAAAAAATTTACATATGTATCCCATCATGCAACAGGTTATGATTCCAATGCAGCATTATTTGCATATTTGACAAGTAATGAACAAACCAAAAATGAAAGATTTTTCTTTTTTAAAAAAAAATTAAGAAAAGTAACAAGACCAGAATACTGTAAAATACTTTATTTTAGCTGGAATTAATTTTCGCTGAAAAGACTTTTTTGGGTGTTTTAAATGGAATTTATTTTCACTGATTTTTTGACAAGTTGAATGTAAAATATAGGAAAAAAGGTATATTCGCTGGATATTATTTTCACTGAATCATTCCTTCAGCGAAAATTAATTAAAAGCGAAAATAAAGTATTTTACAGTAATATATCCCATATTCCAATCCACTATGCCTAGGTACAATGCTAGTAATATCTCTCCATCTTTTTATGCAAATATCACACTCTATGGAATGGAATGAGAATCTAAAGAAACAAAATAATCTAGACATGCTCATTGGCCAGATTAATCAATGTATACAGGAATTTCACATAATAACTTGATCAGGAGCGTATACATTGACGTCTGTTTTTACTCAACCAATCAAATCTATGGTTAACAATTCAATGAGATAAAAGCACTGCTAGGCGTTGGTGGAGTGGAGTACAGAGTAAAATATTGCATCACCCATTAATAAGTATAAGGGTCTAGTCTATCTTGATTATAAATTTGATATAAAAACATGCTCCCCGCATAGAAATAATTAGTATACCGGTAATGTCCTAGCATGCAATGACAACATATAGTCATACAGAGAAAAAATTGATAAATGCAGTCAAAACTAATTTTAACCTGCAAAATCACAAATCAAAACTCAAATATTGAAAACCGCTCAAATTTTCTGAGAGATGATATCAACAACAAAATCATTTTATGTCATCTTTCACTATGTTTTTTCAAACATTTCTGTTCAAGGTCAATGGGGGTTGTCATTTTGGTCCCAAAAAAAGTATTTCACAGAGAAAACAACAACATTCAAAACTTGAAATATACAATGTATTGATTATTAAATGCAAGCCTCTACATATAGTGGTCAAGTTTGTTTTGGGATGAAAGCTGGAAGAGAAAGTCTGTAATCAAAAGATGTTTGAAGTCTGATAAGGGTAGAAATAAAATATAGATTTTAAACAAACATGCAAAAGCAAAGAATGTCTTTCTCACGATGGAAGAATGAAGACATCAAATGCACTCGGAGGGAGATGAACTGGTTGAGTGACAAGGGCGCCCTCTATACCCACATGGAGTCATTCTTTAAATGCCATTGTTTTAATTTTAAATATGAAAGTTGTCACTTTCAGTCACAAATTGAAAACAAAGTTTTGATTTCTCCGATTTTGCAAGTACTATATCAATGATGTAAAACCGTGAATGCTTGAATAAAAATAAAAATGTGAAAGTAGTTACTGACCATCCCACACATTAAATATAAAACTGTTACACATGCAAATGTTAAAATGTAAAAACAAAGTAGAAAGTTCTTTTTAACTGTGGGGGCGCCATCTCAACTGACTTTATCAGCTGTTTTTTTGTTGAAGAATTCTGAAGTAGAAATTGTTCATACTGTAACATGAACAGCATAAATGCTGGTTCTACTATTAAATTATTACTGTTATTAAGTTATCAGAAGATTTGTAGAGTAGTAAGTAAACTGGATGCAATAAGAATAAATATTTTTTTGTACCTCACTTTTTGTAAACCTTACAAAGTTTATTCATGGACGTACAACTACAATTTAGTAACATTTCAATGTGGTATTCTACCGACTCTAACAACGATTGTTCCTTTCGCAAAATACCTAAAACTGCGGACTTTGTGACGGTTACTGTAATTTCATCTGCCAAATTTTTGTGAATTTGATATTTTTGTTATTGTTTAGAATACTGTAAAATACTTTATTTTTGCTTGGAATTAATTTTCACTATTTTCACTGAAGGGATGATTCAGTGAAAATAAAATCCAGCAAATATACCTTTTTCCTATCTTTTATATTCAACTCGCCAAAAATCAGTGAAAATAAATTCCATATAACAACACATAAAAAGTCATTCCAGCGAAATATAATTCCAGCGAAAATAAAGTATTTTAGAGTAGTGTTGTTTATCTACTTGTTTACATATAAAATGTTCATCAAATTTACAATTTGTAAGCAAGGTCATAATCTGCCAGTTTGATTCAAAATCAAAATATAAAATTTTAAATAAATTGAAATTATCATCGCATTTATGGTTGGAAATACATCCGCCAGAAAAATATGCTAAGAAGAAATGCATCTTTGTTCTTATTAACCTCCCAGTACCAGATTCTTTCCCGCCAAAATTGGCATCCTAAATATTTTGAGTCTTTTTCAATTTCAGTAGGATAGAATTTGACATTGCTTACATGTTTAATGAAAAGATTGAATATTTGATACACAGCTTGAATTGAGAAAAGCTAATACTGAATGGCACTACATTACAACGATAGTAAAAAGGTTATAAACCTATCATACTATGACGTAAGTCAAATTGTCTGGCACTCATGAATTGCTGGTATGCATGTTCATGCATGTTGTATACATCCTCACCCATGGGAATCACTAAGGCATATCACATGCACATCATATGTATGTTGCATGCACATCACATGCACATCACATGCACATCATATGTATGTTGCATGCATATCACATGCACATCATATGTATGTTGCATGCACATTACATGCACATCACATGCACATCATATGTATGTTGCATGCACATTACATGCACATCACATGCACATCATATGTATGTTGCATGTACATCACATGCACATCATATGTATGTTGCATGCACATTACATGCACATCACATGCACATCATATGTATGTTGCATGCACATCACATGCACATCACATGCACATCATATGTATGTTGCATGCATATCACATGCACATCATATGTATGTTGCATGCACATTACATGCACATCACATGCACATCATATGTATGTTGCATGCACATTACATGCACATCACATGCACATCATATGTATGTTGCATGTACATCACATGCACATCATATGTATGTTGCATGCACATTACATGCACATCACATGCACATCATATGTATGTTGCATGTACATCACATGCACATCACATGCATATACACCTTAATTAGCATAAATAAATACCCCATACATGTAATGATAAAATGAAACGTGTGCATCACTAAGTCTGACATTCCAAAGCAAGACATCTCCATATTTTGCGCACACAATATGCAAATGGTTCAAAACTCTGACAACACGGGGAAATAATGAAATGAAATTTCCGTCAACTAAAGTCAGCATGATAAAATCAATTGATGGACTTTACAATACTGGTGGAAATAACTTGAACTTTTCCATTCGTTGGTCACAGTCAATACCTACAAAAGAATGACAGTAGTATCACTACCAGGGATGTGGAATGAAAAAACAATAATAGCAAAATATTGTTTTGTGACCATATCCAAAATGGCTGCCATGAAGTATACAGAAATCATTTAAAGTGGCACAGTCGTCCCACCATGTTATGTTCGATATGGATCACATGATGCATATACGAACTGTGAACGTACATTGGGATTTATTCTTTTAGTGTTTGCGAATTCTACAATAACCCAAATAAAATAAAAAACTTTAATGACATTATTTGTAGTGAAATTGTGACAAATATTGACTTTGACATTCAACAAGTTCAAATTAGTAATTGTACTATAAAGGGTTAAAACAAAGTAAATTGAAGTAAATTACAGGAAATGTAAAAAATCCACGAACATTTCAGCAGGAAAAGTGAGACAGAAAAGGGTTGAAAGTACATAAATGACAAATCAGAAATGGTCTATAAATACATGCAGAATTAACCAGTTAATCAAATGTAATTAATCATGTGACTGCCACCACATGACAGATCACATGACTAATCACATGTCATCCATCACACTGCAATTACATGAAAGGTCATAAATCACATGACTGAACACATGGTATCGACCACATGACTGCAAACACATAACAAGTGACTGATCACAAGACAGTACAATCACATGACATCATGTAATTTGCATAACTGATCAGTCACTTGACTGATCACATGCAAATAGTGATGAATAATGGAAGTTTTTTTCTCCAGGTTTATCAAACTCAATGAAAAATGGTGCGTATAAATGTTTACATTGGTAAGAGATGGTCATCCCTATCATCGTCATCATCCATGTTTTCTAACTGGTCATCACCGATCCCCTTGTAGGTTCTGGGCTCTGATGGAGTTTTAGTTCTAAACAGGAAGTCAGTTCCATCCTGCAAGCATTAAATATGTAAATTTATTAATTATTATTTCTAGGATTTTTGATTACTGTTCATCCCACTCGCATTTTCATAGAACAAACTGTGAAAGGTGTTCTCAAATTGTTGAAGTCGCCAAAAAACGAAAAACATTTCATTCAATGAAGAGGAAGTCAGGAGGCTATTTCATCTAGATGGTGCACATTAATTTTTTAATTTTCGTAGTTGAAAACAAAAACAAATTTTGTGTGTTTAGAGTCAAAAATATCTTATTTTTATGTACTTGGAAGAGTGATGTGTATGACTCTATATTTGATACCTTTCGTTTTTTGACAAATTTTACTAATTTAAGAACACTCCTAAGAGATCTATGTCTATTCGTAAAAATAACTCGACGTTGAAGGAACTGGTAACAAATGCACTTACAGCAATAAGGTTTCCTAGTTCTCTCCAAAACGACAGATTAGGTATCTGTTCCATACCCTTGGCACCAACCACTAAACGTTGGTACAGAAATCCTACAATTATATACAGACCAACCAAAGTAAAAAATCTGAATTAAAAAAAAAAAAATTCATTGTGAATGATGTCATAGTCCCTGTCAGTGATTCAGTGACATCATATATCACAATGTCACGCAGATAAAGCTAAAAGCAAAGCGACAATGTCACCAGAACTGTGCATGTGCATGGGGACTGCTCATAAAACAAAGAATGTTTACATATATTGATAGACGCTAGTTTTTAGATATCTGCTAAAAAAACAATTCCAGTCAAGCGAGCAAATTCGAACATTTGTCAAAATTATGCTTTGAAGGGCGGTAGTCGTCGTGCCACGCATGCGCAAGATATATAGGTCTCGTATAAACAAAGATGGCGACTTTGCCTGTTGTGCAGATGAACAAGTACAAATTGAGACGTTACCAAGCTTTAATTAAGTATTTTTAGGTGATTGGAAGGTATCAAAGGAGTCACCAGCAGTAATTAATGCAAGTCACGCCCAGGTCAAACCTCATACCTGTGATTTTCATTGGAAGAGCGCATTGGATTGTGGGAAAATCATGGTTTATTAACACAAATGCACACATGCGATCACGACGACTGTCGCTCTTTATAAATGTTTTTGCGATGACAAAGCACTGTTTACAAACGTGAACTCTGTTTATGATTATTGCGCTTGATTGCAGTGCGAATATTGCACACATCACAAGTAAAAATAAACATGAACAGAAACATAATAGAAGAGTAGAATTCACATGTTCGCACGCTGTCACTTGAAATTAAAGTTTCATGTGATAATAATAATAATCTAAGTCATTAAACGCCATCAACACATTGCAGCAACAATGCTCTGTTTAATTACGATTATAGAGACGACAATTGACAATATTAAGAATTCTATCTACTGATATGATATACATGTAGTAATCTCAAAAACTTACTAAATTTTTCATTCAATAATTTTTTACAGACTATTCATGACAACAGTTTTGCTTGTGCCATTATTAGCTCTCTGGAGCCACATACAATCTTTTTTCCCCAAGAAGCCAGTAAGGTAAATCAACTTGATTTATGGAAATCCATTGTAACTCAAGATTTCGCAAAAGGTCATAGATCACAATGCTTATCGGGCAATGCATATAAACACAAGTCAATGTGTGAATGGATGTGGGTCGTCCAGCAGTGTGTATTCAAATTTTGTATGGTTGCATGGGACCCATTGACAACCATTTAATATTGTACTCACATGATAGATATAATGGATCCTACACTAATACCACCACCACCACTGCTACTACTGCTACTTTCACTGAGGCCACTGGTACATGCTACTGAACTGCTTATTTCAAATAAATAATAACATTCAGAATCTTTATCTGCATTTTCTGCTATGATAGTTGCTGGCCCCTGAAAAGTAAGTCAGGAAACCCGTTAGAAATAAAATGATAAGTATATATATATCGTACTCGACCGCATTAGTGTCCATGCCAGGTCAAGCACCCACCCCACCCCTTTTGCAAATTTTTTATATTCGGGGTCACATTCAGCAAAGCGCCCACCCATTCAAAATGCCACTAATTTAAAACTTGGTCTTTGGTGATTGTTCAACTGGTAATCGTTTTTTTATGATACAGCATGGATTATATGTTGTGAATGCATTGACTACGGTAACCGTGCGTAAACTACGCTTCAACAATGACCTGTTAATAAAAGTAAAATGCGGTGAATATTTCATGCCATATTCAGTTTACCTATCAACAATTGCTAATTACCAGTTTTTTGAAAAAAAACATGTCGTAAATTCGCTGAAACCAATTCCAACAGATCGTACTTTGACACTGATTATTCACTTCTGCATTTCGTTAACAGAAAGTCATCAGGAATTTCTGAAAAATTGCGTCAGTACACAGCATTCTGATTGATTAATAACAGACTTGACTTGACCCGTTAGGTTAAAGGACGTAGCAGGTCAAATCATGCAAATTCATCATGGCGGAAAGTGCTTTTCCTCAAGAGTTTACGTACGATTCAACACATTCATCAGATTAAGATTTTGACTTTCACTGTGTTCCAACAGACTCTAATATTTTTAATCTTGTAAATTCGGGTGGTACGTAATTAATATTTTAATAAAATGTGCATATTTTTTGTGACCATTTCTGTTTCGTCAATGACGACGCAACTAATATTGTAATTTTATTTCCCCTCAAAGACGTAATATTCATCTCAATCTGTCACAAGGTGAATTAAAATTGTCATTTGCACTCTTTTCCGAGGAGGGTGCTCGGGGAAGCACCCACCTCTAAAAAATACTGATTTTCTGAGTTGAGGACTCTGGGCGCTAATGCGGTGCGGTGCGGTACGGTACGGTGCGGTACGGTACGGTACGGTACATTACGGTACGGTACATGTATATGTGTGTGTTTACATTGAGAGATCAGATTGTAGCGCTTACATGCTTTATGAGATAAACCAATCACTGTAACTAATCAATTATTGTGGAGATCTCAAAGACCTAGGCAAGTAACTGGCTTGTGTTGATACAGGACTCGAAATTACAGAGACCATGGAATGAACAAGATTTTTCTCCAGGATTGCAATCAAAATTTTGGACTTAAAATAAGCTTTTCTCAGAATACCATTACTTGTAGGAGTAATTAACGAGGCACCATTATGAGTTTTTGTTCATCCAAAACAATAAAATACATATAATTGACAAAAGAATGACATTTTATTGGTAGTATAACAGACATTACTCACCTCTAGGATGTCAGGATCACAGACTATCATTATCACAGCTCTTCTGTTTTCATTTGTACAATGAGTACCATATTCATCTCCACCTTTGTATGTTAGTAATATCCAGTCAGCTGCAATGACAATATATGATAAGATTGGAGACACAGTGGGTAGAGTTAGACATGTGGAATTTGGTGTGTCAAGAACACATGGGG